CGCTGCAGCTTCCTACGTTCAATTTTGAGCCATTACCACCAGAGATAATGAGGAAGAGGTTAGAGATAGCTGGTTATTATCGTGTCAATAAATGGAGGATTTACAATTAATGCAAGAGTTGGTTAGAGGTCGGCTTTTTCAAAGAATTTGATAATGTGGAACTTATGGCGTATTTGTGCAGATAACACCATTTGTTTAATTATTTAATTACATTCAATAAACAAGCATGTGAACAAAATCATATGATTCCGGTCGTTTTCGACACCGCAGTTCTTTCGTTCGATGCTTTTTTATAGTGCTGGTGTTTCGAAATAGGCGAGGAATTCAGGAAAGTGAACGGAAACTTGACCGTAAATTTTGAAATCTAAATGCGAGAGCATTCATCAGGTGCGCTGATCGAGCGATCTGGGCTCGGAGATGGATCGACGCTGTTGGGTTTTTGACAGTTCTTTGATCATGGGTGTTTTTGTGTCCGTCAATTCCGCTAAAACTATTGCATACGAGAACAAAAATAAACAACTTTTACGTCCTGCCCGTACCAAAATTCCTAAGAGGAAATTAAAAATACCCTCGAGCTTTCGTCGCCCGGTATACATGAACCAGCAACAGGCAACGTACAATAATTTATCAATCATTCGATCCCACAATATAATCATTCGTCAAGTTTCCAAACCGAAAATGAAAAAATCTTGAATTTAACTTGAGATTCTAGAGTCGATTTTCGAACAAAAAACAATAACCATAAAACCAGCCAAATGTCACTACGACCCGAGATGCGTACCACATTCTACTCTCTCCTAAACCTCCAAAGAAACGGTTTTCGTAAACCCACCATACCCATATACGTCACCTTAATTACCTCTGCCAAATATTAGCCCAAAAACGCAAACAGCCCACTTATGAATGAGTTTCCTCGCCTTCCTACGCGACGAATTACCGTAAACTACTTGGCAGGTTTCTCGTAACGTAATACGCGGTACCATCTCGTATGTCACTCGCTGGTACTTTTTTAGGTTGTGTTGATTCGCGGATAGATATGCCCACCCATGGTCAGGTCGTGCTTTCGCCTGAAAGACCCATATAATACGATCGCCAGGGGAAAAAATGGAGTGTGGGACATGGATAGTTCCAAGAAGTCACTCTGGAATCCGGTGGGCTGGTCAGCCGGATGAGCCCGCGACCGCTAACTCGATCGAGGAATCTTGACAGGCTGAAGGATGGTTTGGTGCGACGTAACGCAACAAATACGTGACGTCATTGCGTTGCTTTGTCTACGCGTAAGTAGCAAACGCTGTCGTTAAATTAGGATCGTAAACGCACGCTATTTTTATTTTTGATTTTGATATTTGGATGAAGAAAAACAAAAGTGGTTCATAATCGCTCATCGGGCGATAAAGATGACATCTGTTATCACCGTAACGGCTGTCTTATCGTTTTGACAATTCGTTGTTGCATAATTTGGGTTCGCACATTAACAAACACTTTTATTTTTTGACGACTTCTTCGTTGAAAATTTGGGAGAAAATCGTCACAGCAGCGATAATGTGTGTATTTTTTGCAATGTAGATACTTGCTGATAACGAATCAAACATAAACAAATACTGTGGTTACATAACCGGGTCAATGTCAAATAATTTTATATTTAAGTTTCAACGATCTCGCGCGATAACAATAAGTTGAATTGGGCTTTTTGTATTCGCAGTGTCGCCAACAAAATAGCTGACAACTTGATATAAATGAAAGGGAGGTGACGGCGATTTTTCCCAGTCAATTTTATTTTAAATAAGACAAATGGGGGATTTTTATAGATAAGTGGAATACTACTAGTTTCTGGCAAAGTAAAAATGAATTAATGTTTACACCTACGTGCATTTCACCAGATCATGAGGAATTAGTTTTGCAAGGTTTTTTGGCAGAAATTACGAGTTTCAAAGTTTCGAATCCCACAATCGACGTTCGACAAACTAGCACAAAAGTATCTGTGGATATGAAAATAGGTCCAACCTACTCAGACGACATGACAAAAGTGTTCTCCTCCGTGTGCGTGTACTACAAAGTTCGAATCTAATCTGAATACGCCGATTCCATTTAAAATTTAAAATCGTGTAGTTGTGATCGTTCGACGACAGCGAAAGAATAAAAAATGATAATCGCTTTTATTTTGACAAGACATGGAATTTTGTGTCGGAGAAGTCAGACAATAAAAATATTTCGTAACGTGCACCTACATAAAACAAAGTTCAAAAATATAGTAACGTAAAACATTGGGTGAGGCCGCTTTCACAATAACACAAAAATATATCTAATCGAAAGTACCGCGTGACCGCCGCCGACTGGATGCAAAACGGTCCTCATCCGATACTTTGACAGGTAACGTAGCCTACTTGAATCAGTTTGTCACGCTCTAACGTGATGGAACTAATTCGCGATTGGTGCTCCATGACCTAATACAACGTTAAATGTATTTCAGCGCTGAAAATTAATAATTGCGTTGCGAATTATTCAAATTAAAAAATTCTTAGCGACTGGTGTAAATTCCAACTTCCAGTAAGAATCCATTATCCATATTTATCGAGTGGCCACTGCATTCTGATTAGCAAGGAGTGACCTTGTTGTGATGCATTTACTGGAGTGAAAATATTATTATCAATGCGTGAAGTTTGTAATTGTAGATGTGCCGCCTAAAAATATTGACAACATGAAGATAAGCCGAAGTCGGCTTTTGACATTGTTATAAAATGTGAACCTAAATGCTAGTCATGGCGCAAACTTAAGACTTTACAACGGTTGCGGTTACCACAGTTGACTGGTGGTACGCTCGCTTTAACAACTTCCCCAGTTCTAATATACAGATGTTCAAAATATTGCGCACCAAATCTATGACACGTTGTTCAGGACCCTCATAATTTAAAAAATTCTTTTGTCCAAATCTAGAAGTTTAATTTTTCTTTTCGAAACTTCACCATATTTTCTTTCATTACTCAAAATAATTTTAGAAGTATCTTGTCTTTATCCATTGTATTTTTCATTTTATAATAAAACTAGAAACTTAAAAATTGTTTAGGATGAATGTGACAACAGATTCATAAACTACACGTATAGATGTTATGTTATTTTATACAATTTAAAACCCATTTACCATGTACGATTTTGACGTTTTGTTGGTGGGGACGATTAGACAAGTTTGGTCAGCACTTTACCATCTACATGGTGTTCATGATACACATATAAAATTTGATAACAATCGGTCCGGTAGCGTCGGAGATAATCCGTCCAACAAAAATCGACACAGACGGCGGACCGACAAACAGACGCAAAAAGGGATCTATTTTTTCGTACTCTGGGGGTAATGACCCATCGAGAAAATATAAAAGTAGCCAGTTGCCCGAGGGACAATAGGTGCTCTTATCTGTGTGGACCAGACGTAAAAGGATTAAGGCAGTCCAGGTAATACAATAAAACCTTCTACGTTTCTGCAAATTAGAGAATTTATGTGTGTGAAAGCAACCTCAAAAAGTGAAACCGGGAAAGAAAACCATCGAAAGGCACTTTGGTCTATGGAAAATTATGACAAAAAGTTTCGCAACTGTAATATTAACAAATTCTTATTCCATGCCAAAGAATTAAAAACTAGGAAGATTACTTGCGACATAATGTGGTCGAGGCACAACTATAGGTAAACCAAAATTCTTGTGCGGAGTCTGCCTCCGGCGTCTATTGACTTACACTAATTTTTATGAGGGCTTAACTAAAGATCTTTGCGAACTTGCCGCAGTTCAGATGGCTGGGAAAGGGTTTGTCGAGACGGACCGTAATGAAAATTTTAGTGCCGGTTTCCTTAGTTCTCGGAAGGGCTTCTGATTAGAAACTCAGCCGAAAATAATACAATAATGCATTACCTGAAGATGGGTACACGAATAATCTTGTCCGAGTCAGTCGTCTTGTGAACATTTGAATTTTACTCCCGTTTGTTTTTCGTCTGTCCATTAATTTTCCAAGAATTAAAAAACCCGTATTTTTTAAGACGAAAAATTGTATTCACATTAGAAAAAGATATGTTAGATAAAACATAGATACATACTTCTGTTAAATTCAAGTACGGTCCTGTGTTACTCCAGACAGAGGTCTAGGTAAGTAGACAAGTTTACAACGGTGGGTGGTTAACCCCTCATAAAAATTTGTGGAAGTCAATAGACGCGTGAGTCAGACTCCGTACAAGAGCTTTGGTTATAGTATACTGTTATTTACAACTGTGGGTTTTTTCTTAGTAGTCTTTACTTTTTTGAGAATGCCATTTTTTCAAACAGAATAAGTGTAACCTGTACATAATAAAGGAAATGTTTCAGACTGTCTACCACTGAACCGGATACACATTCAATAGTCGTTTATAGATTTCTTAGCGTACATGTTCAAAAAGTCATTATTTTGGCACGCATTGCTATTTCTAACATTTAAAACAATGTGACACTCACTCCGGAACACGTTGTTCTAGAACAGCGACTCCCAATCTCATGTCATGACTAGTTTCAGGCCAGGATTTGCAAAAAATATATAAAAATCTCAAATAATTGTAACTGAAGGGTACTGACAGCTTGCTGTTATTACGGAGAAAAGTTTGAGAACCACTGTTCTAGCGGTATTTTTGAAGCTCTACTCCAAGAAGTGGAGCTTTCAAACCAACATCCACTCGTATTAGATAAACAAAAGGCATAGCCGAGTCAACAGATTCGAAGTTAGGGAAAAATTAGTAATATCACGTGTCAAAAGAACAACAAAAACAACATAGCCGTAAACATAACCCGACCGCAGTAGTCCTTAAATTTAGTGACAGTATGCAATGTTTACGTTGTACCGTCATTGGACACCGTCAATAATAACAACAACCCAACCACAACAAGTGCCCCGGCCTGCGGCGGCACCCTCCAGTAGCTGGAAAAAAGCGTCGGTGCCGCGCTCCGGGTCACTTGTCGCGTTTCGGCCCATGATAACGACTTGCTCACCCGGTTGATAAACTCGGCTCCAGTGGTACGGATTGCAGCAGACGTAGACCGGGTCCCCGGCCGAGCGACACCCCGGCAGCCGCCTCAGGTCGGCCCCGTGCACCAGCTCCGGCCACCGCCACGTCTGACAGCACAGCACGTGCGCCTGCCGCTCCTTGGGCAGCAGCACGCAGCTGGACATGTCCCTGCCGCGGCTCTCGACGGCGGCCCACAGCATCCCCAGCTGGTTGTCCTGGAGCTCCCTCAGCAGGCGCGCCACGCCGTCGTCATCGCCGCCGCGCCGCCTGCGCGCCTTCAACAGCCGTTTGGTCAATGTGGCCCGTCTGCTCCGGAACATGAACATGTAACCGGCATTTGGGCCGTTCACCGCCGCCACACACCGCCAACACTCGCGCCGCACGCACTACGTGCACCCATCACCTTCGCAGCTGGTTTGCGACTGAGCGGAACGCGGTCGGAGCGGTGTCGGGCGAAGGCGATCGGGACGAGTCGCCGCCGTTCGGCGGTGGTTGTCGCACACACGGACCGGTCTAGACTGGGGAGGGGATATCTGGTGGCGCCGTCTTGGCGCCAGGCCCGGACTTCGCACCTACCGGTATGGTGGTGGCCATTATTATTGCACGGATTACGCTGGACGGACGCTGGCTATATTTAGAGAGCACGAGGAACTGGGGAGGAATTGGGGCGCGCGGAAACGGACGAAAAAGAAAGCGCAAAAAAATCAAAATCCCCAAAAAAATAAAAATAGAAAATTTTCTATCTCTGTAAGAATGTTTTTTGATCGGGCGTCATGCAACAACGGCTCGACTTATAATGTAAAGTGGAGTCCTTGTGAATACGGACTTTCTGTTTATATAGGAAGGCACCAACAAACCGATTGTTGTAAAAATAAGTTAAAGCGCTCACCTCTGAACGCTTCCCTGAAAGGAACAAGGGTTCTATGAATCAGATGTCATAAACATTAAGGCTACTCCACTTTTTTAAATCTAGAGCCCCTCAGTTGTGGTGTTTTCGCAACGTCAGTAGCAAACGCTGTCGTGCGGTAGACTTAAAAGTGGAGCAGAAGAAATACATAAATTATGTTCAGAGATATAGTAGCCTGCATAGATATTGTAGCCGTCCATAGAGTCGAGATTTGCGAATAAAAATAAAATAAAACCGGCTCAAACGGAACCGACGACGGCTTGCAAGTTCTGTCACTACGGCACGCGTCATATCACACAGGGGTGTATTTAAGGCTGTTTGCACAAAATCTTAGGGTCACTGTAATCTTACTATTTTCTATCTACGACAAACGATTTGTCACACAGCTACGAAACCGATGATCTAGAGAAAGATGGAAGTTTGAAAATTTATTTCAACAAGTGTAATAACCGTTTGGTGCAACACAATTGGTTCAAGCAAACTAAAATATGAAAGGAAACAAACAGTCCACGTGGACTAGTTTATAGGCGTGTTTGCTGCAAAGATGACTAGATTTTTCGCTCCACCTGCCTCCGCAACGATGAATATTACATACCACAACTTGTGTACAGTGAACAGAGCTTCGATTTTATTGACGAGATTCAGCTCAGAAATTAAACAGATTATATCATAACGGAAAAAATGACATTTAATATTAAATACGTCTCTGTTCAACGTGTGCCAGAGTGACGTCAGACTTTGCAAGCCACCGTCGGCTCCGTTTGAACCGGTTTTATTTTATTTTTATTCGCAAATTTCGACTCTATGGACGGCTACAATATCTATGCAGGCTACTATAACATTAATGGCTTGCATTCCGATTGTATTTAACTTCGATGGGGTTTGACTATTTTGGATATTATAAGTATATCTGAATTTCATTGTAAAATAAAAATAATTACTTTTAAGGACTAATTTCTAAAAAAAAATCTGTAAATAACAATCACTGATAAGTATTTTAATTGCATATTTTATAAAGAAACAATTTAATAAAACAATTACGAACAATAAAACTAAATTTAATAAAAACAATATTAAGTTCAGTAATTCATAAAAATAAGAAATAAATAGCATAAAGAAAAACAATAGAAAAGTTATAATGTTTTTAAAATCTTGGGAAGATAAAACAAAAAGTAGAAAGTTTTAAGCCTATCTTTCGTATGTGTTTCAAAATAGCTATTTATGGTATAAGTAAACAAAAGTGAATTTTATCCAACGAAAAAACAGTTTAGCACACGAGGCGAAGCTGAGTGTGATAATGTTTTTGAGTGGATAAAATTCGTTTATTCACGTGTACCATACAAGATTTTTTCCAAATTCGCAAAATTTTTCAAAAAATTTATTGTTTAGGTAGTCCATATACATAATATTAATTGTACTATTACTAATATGAACATTTGAAGAAGGTAAGTTGCCTAAGCTGCCTGTACTTTCGTCACGGTCAAATTCAAACGATGCTCCTGGACTTCCATTAGGATTGTTTTACAGTAGGTGGACTACCAAGCGTTGCAAATTTTAGTTGAATATCCACACATCCATAGCAACAAAAATTTCAGTGGTAGTGCGAATTTTTAGTTTTTTTACTTTATTCGTTTTGTCAATGACAGTGTGGATAAAGTGTTGCTATAAACATTTTATTCAACCTTTCGATTAAACTATTGTTTTAATAGCGAGATCTAACATACAAAATGAGCATTTTATTAGTAGAAATTGGAAAAAAATCATTATCCTGTTTAGTTTTATTATATACGAATCCTTTCGGCGTCCAACTACAAAATAACAATACATTTTGCCGGTAATACGAAGCTGTCCTTGCATTTGAAAATAATGGTTGTAATACTTGTAATAGGTGTAACGGTTAACGACGTTGGTTCGTAAAAACCTTTACTCCTTTCGGAGAAACCACCCAAAAGCCGGCACCAGTATAATCTTGAATGGTTTATGGGGGTTTTCCAATAAGCATGTTTTGCCGACTTTATTTTGTCTGGGTTTAGTCAGTCTTGAAACGAGCTGCTAATTTCCGAATTTAATTTATTCCATACACATATTAAAAAAAAAACATACTTTGTTATATATAACTTTCATATATATAGGAAATAATTCAATACTAAAAACAAGTAGAAAATGTCAAGACGTACATAAAATCATCATTATGACTTACTTATGCCTACACAACACAAACACAATCGTGGTTCATCTCAGAAGGTAAATAATATTTTCTTGTTTAGGTAGAGCTCGTTTATTTTTATATGGTGGCGTTTCATCTGTTAAAATAATGGTTTATTGAACGTGAATTAGTGCACCGTATAAAACTAAACTAAACATAAATGACATAAGAATAAGAGACGGTTAGTATAATAACAAACGTCCCTATATTCTTTTTAAAGAAATATTATCAGCGGCATCTCTTAGTCTTTACTTCTCTAACCCTAATAAATGACTCTCTAGGTACACTCCGATTGTTGAAAATTTGACATTCCTTATGATTTATGTTTCGTGAATAAATATTTATTTGAAAACTGCACTTCTTGAAAAATACATCTGGAGCCCTTTTATCCTACTTTATGCGACTAGGATGTTCGCAAATAAAAAACTGCTGAATTACAAAGAAACTCGGCACATAATCGAAGAATAAATAACGATTGACATTATTCCGTTGAAGCAATAAATGTCATTAGTTAATCTAATCACCGCTGAATACATAAAGAAAACAAAAACGACAACAAAGCAACAAAACCTTTTGAAAATCTGTTTATGACTGTGCATAATGGTTGCGTTGTTACGCTTCACAAACGGCATAATTTGTTGAAATAGCGCCAGGAAATGTGATAAATTATGTCCGCCGTTCAAGAGAGATAATTCGCTGTAAACAAAATTCGCCACTATTTATTCCATTTTTTAAACAAAGTAATAATTTTCCGGAATCTAATTACGGTACGTTTTTTGAATAACAAAACAAGCCTATTTATAGACGCCACTTACGCGAGACGTTCACCTTTAGCCATGGCGCCATATTTTCGCGTTTTTTGACATGCGTTTTGACAACGTCCCTGTGTGAAGACGGCTTCTCCAAAATACGACACAACGTGTATAATTTTGTATGTTCCGCAGCTCAAATGAATCTTCAGTTACATTTATTTCGCAAAAAAATCTATTCAATGCAAACCGAAAACCAGCATTTTCGCATTCTACGAACTGCCCAACGTCCAAAAAGCTGCAATTGAAAATGTCTTTTTTTAACTGTCTCGTCGGTCGTCGTTCGTACTAATAAAAGTTGTATTTCGACTCGTGTTCCCCCCAGCCCGGCTCTGTTGATCAAATACCAATAGAAAACGGTGCCGGCGGCGGTCTAGACTGTGTAGACACACTTTCCGGCGCTAAAGAAGGCTCCAATCGCCACATATTGTTATGCTTTTAGATGCGGATCATCGTAGGATCCTACCCCTACCTAAGGAAATGTGATCTTTATTATTGTCGTGGGGACGGATGAAGCGGCGCCCACCCTCTAATTGTTAACGGTCTCTTCTGGTGCCACGAATTCGTCACCACACAACGTCGCCGTCGCGCTCGGCGACCTTCCCGTAATTTCCTAGTTTGGAGGTCGCTCTTCATGCGAGCTGACTCAGACTGGGTAAATTCGCTTGACGACTTTCTTATCTCCGGTAATTAGCACTATTTGCTACAAGTATGCTAAAAGGTGGAATTATGCGGTGATTAAGTGCGGTAAAAACGAGTCGGCAAGTCGCTGTTTTCGTCGACTGTTGAGTTGTGGCGAGCTTAGATAAGGTTGTCTCTTTCCAAAAAAAGAGAGAAAATTTTCACGGAAGACGAAAACTTCGATAATAGTTACATATATTTATCTCTGCTGAAAAGTCGTTTGATTATTAAAACTTAACAAAAATAGACAATGGGAAAAAACTTTATTTGAATTATTGCTGATAGTCGCTGAGAGCCGTGACCGGGATATAAATAGTCTAGCATATATTTTTTGATAAGTCATTTTGTTGTGTCGTATTATTTCCGTTTAATTTTTGGAACTTTTAGATCTTTTCGGTGTCTGCTCCAACGACCTCAACTGTCCATGTTAAGGACTGTTAATAACCATAAACAAGTAGTACATATAATTTTTCAGTTTTTCAATTTTACAACTTTTTTTTACAATTTAAGGTTTTTTATTTTTTTTTTTTATATAAATACAAATTTACTATTGTAAATTTTGGAGAAACGTCATCAAATTGTTGGTGGGGACGATTATCCAATTTTTGGTTGGCGTTTTACCATCTAGATGATAATCCTCATATATAGTAACATACATAACATAACATAACATTTTTATTTGTACATATAAACATATAACACTGTTTTTGTACATACACGTCAACATACAACAAAAAATTTTTACAGTACCTACATGGAATTTGTGTAAGGCAAGACCTAGTAACGTCTAACGTTTTAACATTTAACATATTTATTTGTACATATTATAAACATATGACACTGTTTTTGAACACGTG